ACACTTAGCAACCATCATAGTTAGAATCCACATGAAGAACCTTAGCCGGAAAGGCAACCCTGTAATCAGCAACAAGATCATACTCATCCTCGTTGGTACCGACTATAATAGCTCTGGTTTCTATGTGCCGTCATCGAAGTTCTCGCCTTTGGAGAGTATAGATGGACACATTTTTTTTTATATTAGAGGAATAAATTTATAAAATTTTAAGAGACTACACGCTTAATACATAATGTTTAGTTTTCGTTTTATCTTAGTACCACGTCGTTAAAAACTTAACGTGTTTAGTACCTAAACTATCAGTTTTGGTTTGTTTAATACCTAAACTTTTAATTTTTTCAAAACTTAATGTTAAATTTTGAATGAGTAATAAAATGAAACAAAAACCTAAAGGTTTTAACGGCGGGATACTAAAAAAACAAAAACTAAACTTGGGTATGCTTTTAAAAAATTGAAAGTTTAGGGATTAAATTTGTTTAAAACTGATAGTTTAGGTATTGAATGAGGAATTTACCCTTAAATTAAAGAAGCTTAAGTTGACCATGAAACATGCGAGATTATCTATGTGAAAAATCAAGATATTACACCAGTTGGCAATTTCCACGCTCACAAGGTTAAATATTAGGTCATTCTGATTTGTGACACTTCTATCTTAATATATTTTAAAGAGCAACTGAGCAAGTGGACAAATTTTATCGTTGTACTCAAATTAACGGGGTTGGTTTAAGTGGTAAGTTAGTTTAATGTCGTTTAAGTAAAATTTAATGTTCGAGTCTTTATGTATGCAAAAAGAAATTCACCGAAAGACTCACTTACCAAAATCAGGTATACGGCCCAAATCGATCTAAATTAATTAAAGCGAAACCTTAGAACTGGAGGATGAAAAAAAATAAAATGGTGTGAAGATAATCGAAAGAAACCCTTTCTACATCATTTCTGTGTTGTTTCTCCAAAGGCACAAGGTTCGGATTATAATGAAAATGAGTGAGCTTTAGGCCTAACTTATATATTTAGATCGAATCGATCAAATACAGATTTTAACCTAAAAATCATATCATTTTCGAGCCTGATAAATAAAACTTTCTTAAATCCAAGTCGGATTAAAAACGAGTAAAAGATAATCGATTTTCAAAATCAAATTGAAACGGACTAAAATTTAACTTGACCCCATTCCTTGTATCATATTGTTATTAAGAAAATCAAGCTATATCACATGGAAAATGGTCCTTAAGAACCTTTTTTTTTTATTTTCCTTTTGATTTTTAAATTTTATATTGATTAATTCGAATCGAATTAGATTATTCATTTGATTTTGATGAGTAAATTTTTCAACGGGATACCATTAAGACCCTTTAATTACTAAGAAGAATCTTATGTAACCGAGATGGTAATGATCAACAAACCAATCACCGACTAGATTAAGGTGTGATTTTGTTTATGGATTTCGGTGAGTTGAGCTGAGCTGCTCGAACCAAGTGAGCCTAAAAGTAGGCTAATAAAGGTACCCGCCCAGATGAACACCAACACGTGTCCACGTTCCTCGATCCGCAAAAACCCTTGCTAAAATCCATAGCCCTTGTTTGTTTTCCTTTCCTCTACTACCGTTAAAGCTTTCCTCTTTCTCTTTTGCACATCCTTCTCATTAACGCTATCCGTTTACCTTTTCTATTTTCCCTTCTCTTAGATTCTTTGCGTTCAAGATTTGTTCTTGGTTATTGATGATAATGATGAAGCCTTGAAGATGTTGCAAAGACATGGTCTTTTTCTGGTAAGAATAGAAGATAAAATCTGGGGTTTTTGTATGGAGTTTAAATGCTTGACTTGTTTCTCTTGACCCTTTCCGATCTCAAATTTGGCTGCGCAAGAGGAAGAGGAAGAAGAACCAACGAAAACCCTTTCTGATTTTCTGGTTTTACAGCTAAAAGAAGATAGAAAGTCACTGTTTTTCCTTTTATTTTCTGCTTGATGTTCCTAATTTCTTTAGTCCAAATGCTAGAAGTAGTTGAGCTGAGTTGATTTGTGATTAATTTAGCTAAACAGATCACAAAAAAGGTGGCGAAAATGAGCTTAAGTGCAGCTGAGGATGATTCAGGGTCAGAGATTCACATACCAGGAGATATTGATTGGCATATGCTTGATAAATCCAAGTTCTTTTTCCTTGGTGCCGCTTTGTTTCAGGTGTATCGGCTGCTCTTTACCCTGTGGTGGTGTTGAAAACCAGACAACAAGTTTCATCTACACAAGTTTCTTGCTTTAAAATGTGCTTCTCCATCATGATATGAAGGATTTAGGGGGTTCTATAGGGGTTTTGGTACCTCTTTGATGGGCACAATCCCAGCCAGAGCACTCTACATGGGTGCCCTTGAGGTTACCAAGAGCAGCGTTGGCACTGCAACTGTTAGTTTAGGGTTTTCAGATACTTCAGCGACTGCTATAGCTAATGCAGCTGCTGGTTTGAGTTCAGCCATGGCCGCTCAACTGGTTTGGACCCCGATCGATGTCGTGAGCCAAAGGCTTATGGTTCAGGGATACAATGATGTCAAAAACGTGAACCCCAGTGTGAGTTTTTGTAGATACAGGAATGGTCTTGATGCGTTTAGGAAAATCTCGTATGCAGATGGTGCTAAAGGACTGTACAGGGGATTCGGGATCTCGATCTTGACGTACGCCCCGTCGAACGCCATCTGGTGGGCGTCTTACTCCGTTGCACAGAAGCTCGTATGGAGCCGCATCGGTTGCTCCTCGGTGAGTAAGAAAGATGAGAGCGGTTTTAGGCCTGATTCGAAGGCCTTGGTGGCTGTCCAAGGACTAAGTGCAGCCATGGCTAGTGGCGTTTCGGCCTTGATCACCATGCCACTCGACACCATCAAGACCAGGCTACAGGTACTGGATAGGGAAGAGAATGGGGTAAGGAAACCGTTGAGCGTGCCACAAACGGTGCGGAATCTAGTGCAAGGAGGAGGATTGGCTGCTTGTTACAGGGGATTGGGACCACGATGGGCATCAATGGCCATGTCCGCCACGACGATGATCACGACCTACGAGTTCTTGAAGCGACTATCGACTAAGACCCGTGAGCCATTGACGACATGAGAAGAAAAGCTGGTGGGTTTAACCAACTTGGTTTTACTAACTGTAAATTCTTTTATTACTTTGGTTTGTTAATGTAAATAGTACATCTAGCAGTTTGTTCATCTTTTTTTTTTTTGTTCGTTCATATGGATCATTATGTAATAATGTATCTTCCATGTCCTCAATCGAAATATAGTTCAATCTTGGAAAAAGACAGGAAGAGGAACTCATACATGTATATATTAGGGATGGCAACTGGTCGGGATTTTCTGATTTGAAAATATGTATCATCCATAAGAATCTGATCCGACTATAAATTTTATATCCTACATTCGATTCGACCCGATAATATATATATTCCATTGACTCTGATCTAACCTGACTTTTTAGTGTATAAACTCAATCCGATCCAATATAAATTAAATATTTAATTAAAATAATAAACAAAAATTTTAAGAAAATTATATTATTATCTTCGGGTTGGAGTTTTTTCAACTTCGACTGGAATTCGATCTGACCTGATTGCATTCCTTAAAAAACTCAATTCGAACATGAATTTTTTTTAAAAAAAATTTGATTCAATCGGGTCGAATCGAATCAAAACCCGTCGAATGCGGGTGAAATTATCATCCTTACTCTGTATATATACACGCCAACGTGAGAATTCAAATCTATTTACATATTATAAAAATTTTAATCTTGTTCATTCACTTATCTAGCTTTTATAAAAATATAAAATTTAGAAGTTTTATATTATATCAATGGTTATTACTTATATATATATATATATATATATATATATATATATATATATATATATATATATATATATATATATATATATATATATATATAGAATAAAGGGTATATTATGAGTTTAATATTTAATCTATCAATTTTGATTTGTTTTAATATTAAAACTTTTAATTTGTTTAAAATCATTTAAAGTTTAGCTTTTATTTTATTTTAGTATCTGTTTAAAATTTAACGTTATGTTTTATTTTTTATAATGTTATTAATAAGTTTATATTGATAATGATTAGTTGTTGATTTTAAGACGGTGATATAATTAAGGTAAAAATATGTGTTTAATATTTAAATTATTAATTTTGGTATGTTTTAATCATTAAATTTTCAATTTTTTTAAAAAATATACCAAAAGTTTAGTTTTTATTTCATTTTAGTACATTGTTCAAAATTTAATGTTAAGTTTTGAAAAAATTGAAAGTTTAGGTACTAAAATGGACCAAAACTAATAGTTTAGGTACTAAACAACAGATACTAAAATGAAACAAAAACTAAACATTAAAATATAATTTAAAAAAAATAAAAGTTAGGTACTAAAACAAATCAAAATTAATAATTTAAATACTAAACACGTTATTTACCCTTAAACTCGTCATATAAAATATAAAAAAATATTCCGAGTTTATCTAAAAACGCACATAACACATGTTGAAAACACATGTTTTTACAAACACGATTTTGCAAGAGTTTAGGAATTAAATGTGAAATTATGGCACGATAAATGATTCAAGTGTAAACTACACATTTAGTACATAAATTATTAGTTTTAATCCGCTTTAATATCTAAATTTTTATTTTTATTTTTCAACTTTTATTTTTATTTTTCAAAACTATGCCTGTCGTTTAATTTTCATTTCATTTTAATACCTACCGTTAAAAACTTAACACATTTAGAACCTAAACTATCGGTTTTAGTCCATTTTAATACCTAAATTTTCAATGTTTTCAAATCTAAACGTTAAATTTTGAACAGTACTAAAATAAAATAAAAACTAAAGTTTTTAACAGTATAATACTAAAATAAAATAAAAACTAAACTTTAAGTATGATTTTAAAAAATATTAAAAGTAATTTAGGTACTAAACGTGTAATTTACCCAAGATTCAAACATAAAAGCAAGTCTCCCTTCCAATTGAAGAAAGAAAGGGTTATAAATAGCCAATTTTATAATCAAATTAAACAGCAAGTTCACGACCTCCATACATTCTACGTAAACATAGCTCTCCTACATTAAACGCGACACATTGACAACTGACTACCACATTACCTACTAGACAGTTAGAAACTCCACGATATCCGAATTCACATAACACGAACCACCGAGCGCAACCGTAGTCAAGGTCGTGCTCTCTTGTTGCTGCACGACGGGCATTTGTACTGCTTAATGTGCTCGGCTCTTGCCGGCGTAATCTTAACGCACTTCCCATGGAACCATTTCTCGCAGATGTCACAGCAAATCCAGAATTCATCAGCTGCATAATACTCTCCACAGGCCCCACATAACGTCTCTCCGTGCTCCTCCTCCTCCTCGTCTTCCTCTTCCATACCGTCTTCAACCTCATCTTTTGCCACCGCTGCCTTCGAATACTTGGGTTGAGATTCGGATCCTCGCTGCGTATTATCAAACAAAAAAGCGGGGAAAGAAATCTGGTTTATAAGGTCCACTTCCCTCGAAATCGTAAGGTTATCTCTCCCTTTCGGGTCTGCTATCGGCGAGTGGCGAATGAACATTGCTAAACTATTGAAGAAAATCCATCACGTTGACTAGATTCGGTATAACTAAATTGAGTTCTAGTGCCAGCAACCAATGATAAAGTTCACTCAATATATTTTCGCTCAGACCTCGACAACCTTAACCCTAAAATTTAAACAGATTAACATTTAACGGAAAAGCTAAGCAAGGAATTTTCTTTCCATACCTTAGAGTTTGATTTAGATTTGTTGCTGCTGTGATTTGAAACTGCCAATTTTTCCTTTGTCTGTTTCTTAGCTACTCCTGTCACAACTTCGAATATTGTCGGAAGATCATTTATCATATTGAAAAGACGCTTCCTGCATCAAATCGACTGGTATTATTGCAGAAAAAGTGAATCTCAAAGTATATCATACTTGTTACAACCAAATGCAAATCCGATACACAGTGTCCCAAATGAACATGCTCACTCATGCAATGCCTAGTACATACCATGTACACGGACACTACAAGCACTTAACGCTGAAGCCTATATCTAAGGATCATGCCGGTCGTACATTGGATGTAGAACACCTAGCTTTAGCATTTTTGCAAAGATTTTAAACTAGTAACTGCAATGAACTTTCAAGGAAACCTTATGTATAGGTGCTTACACAAAATTAGTTAACGGGGCTTCCCGAACCAAATAGCAAATTCTAGCCAAGTTAAACAAGTTAAGATAATGTACTAAAATTTACCTTAAAATGAAGATTTGTGTACAGAGAGGGATAAAGAAGAAGATGACAAAATACTAATGATTAACAAAACACCCAAACCGCAAGATACTTGAATCAATTTGGATGGACCGTTGCATGCCTATGAGTAACTTAGATTGTTTACATCTATGACGGTATTTAAAGCCAAAACAGGATACGACACTTGGGGCAGGGAGAAACTACCTATCAGCTTTATCGAATCCGAACCTAGCACCAAAATAGAAAGCCACAGCAAGTAACCACGCGTCACTGTGTACGGCAACCAAAGACAACCAGTCCTTTTCTTGCATCCCGTCTCTGGCAAAGTTAATACCCAGCGCAGGCTCCGGAAGCTCCGGAGGCACCTCTTCAGCTGGTAAATTCACCTCCCACTGCTCACTGGGATATCCATAAAGGCAAAGATTCTCCTTCTCTGTAACCAAAATCTAAAATGTTAATTAACTTGTTTACATTTGAGTATCTGGAACCGAACGAGGTAAAAACCAGTAAGCAATCATACGATGAACATACATTTTTATCCAAATCAAATCCAACAAACCAAAAAGCAACTAATAATGAGTACAAATAAAGAAAACACTCCACAAAGAATTTTTCCATTTTCGACTTTTAAAAATAAAAAAAAACAACAATAAATGACAACAAACTGATGAAATAATCAAATCCAACTCATCTGAAGAAATGTTGTAAATAGATCCCTCTTAGTCCAAAACAATCCAATCTTATTTTTAGAAAGGAAAGTTCAAACTATGCATAAATGAGTGTTCAAAAACTGATGATTTTGTCTTCATGGCATAAGAATTAAACAACAATAAAAGCTAGAATCGTTAACATCATTGCATGCACTACAGATTTCACTTCATTTTATGCTAAAGTTTGGGTTCTTCAGTTGAATTTAAAACAACTAAAATACATCGAAAAAAACAAACAAACTTCAATTCTCCAGATAAATCATTTCAACAAACGAAGCTGGGAACAAGAAATTCTCCAACAAGGAAAACCCAGTACCTGGATCGCACTGCTTGTAAAACTCCTCCACGTCTGCAAGCAACGCCAAACCCAGAAAAGTAAACAAACAAACTTTAAGAGATGAAACACACAAAAAAAGGAGTAAGACAAAGGAGTAGAAATTTCAAAAAAAAAATAGAAGAAAGGGTGTGGAATAATACCAGAAGTGAGAGCTTTAATCATGGCAGCTCGACGACCCTTGAAATCTCGAAAGACTTCTTCAACGGTACGTGGGTTGTAGGAAGCACCGCCGTCCATAACCCAAACTTTAATTTTCTTTTTTTCTTTCTTGGAGAGGAAAAGGAAGGAAAGATTTGGGGAAATGGAAGATTCTTTTTTAGTGTTCAAGAGAGCATTGGACCGACCAGTTTCTCTCTGGAGGGAGAAAAAAAAATAAAGGAACGAAAGAGACACAGAGATGTTGGTATATGAGCGGAAGTTTGAAAGAAATTTGGAGCTTTTTTTAATTAAGCGGATTTGATAAAGGGAGGAGGAGTCCGTGATTCTCACCTCAGCTTGGCCCATATGTCTATGACTATAAAACAATAGGATAAATTATAATTTAGTCCTTTAACTTAACAATTTCTTTCAATATGGTTCTCAAATTCAAATGCTCACTCAATGAGCCCCACTTTGTACAAAGCTTCACAAAGTCAATCCTATTCACCTTCCTTGTATAAATTTTAAATCTAGCTATTAATATCCTTTGATACATTACGAAAAATCCTATTATTTCTTTCCTCTCAAATCATATAAAAGAAAACACTCCAAACTAGAGATGAGAATGGGACTCAAACTCGACGTGTTTCGACTCGACCCGATTAGGTCAGGTTTTTTTTATAAAAAAAATCAGGTTCGAGTCAGGTCAGGTTTTTTCAAATGTGGTGTTCGAGTTGGGTTAGATTCGAGTTTAGGGTGAAAAATATCCGACCCAGCCCGAAAAAATATAATTTTACCTTATATATTTAGGAGTAATTACAATACTTCTATATATATATATATATATATATATATATATATATTTCAATTAAATCATTGTTTTTATTGAATACAAATAATATATTTTTTTATTATTTCGGGTCGGGTCGGATCAAATTTGGATTTTATCTCAAAAAGTCTTATCGGATTTGGGACGGGTGGAGTGTATATATTTTTCGAGTCTGGTCGAATCGGGTGAAGGATGTAAAACTTTTGGGCCGGGTCGAGTTGGCCAAAACCTGACCCATGCCCATCCCTACTCCAAACTAACTTGAGAATAATGAGTAAAGAATTATCCCTGAACTTATTGACAGCCCAATTGAATTACCTGTCCATGTCCAGCTCAGTTGGTAAAGCACAAGGCTTTTAAACTTGTGGTCGTGGGATCGAGTCCCACAGTGAGCAATTCATAATTCTGAGTGTCGGAGGTCTCCAACAGAAGCTATTCTCAACCTGGCGTTAGAGACAGTCTACTATCTTAACTCCCCTTATTATCCCATTACATATGATAATAGAGTCAGCTAATTTATTTGTATTGACAGCCCAATTCAACTCCCGCCCCCACAAATGCACCCCTCTGTCTCGATTGCATGGACCGAGGACTTGTTTTCAAACGTCCACCGAATAGGGGCATTCAAAAAATTGAGATGCTCACACGATTTCACACCTCCATCATATAACACGCCAGCCCTCGCCCACCCTTGTCCCCATTTTCAACATACAATCTCTTGTTTTCAACCTATTGAGTATGACGATCCAAGCAACCACAACGTGCTAGGGAACATGGAGAGAGAACCAAACAAGTTCGTCTCAATTTACTCTATTCTAACATCTTCGAACCTTTATCTAGATATCCCTCAAAGTCACCTCTTTAAAGACCAGAATGTCATAAAATGAGTAAGTCTCCCTCCTTAATGAGAAGATCTACCGCAGACTTTAGCTCGCGAAGTCCTTAATTTCAACAGTTTAGAAGTCCCCCTTGTCACATAAGCTTTCACACCACGCCAACCATAAAGACCCTTCATCCACCAAGATATTTCTCATCAATTTGAATAAACAAACCTTGAAAAGATGAGAACATAATTGATCAATCCTATTAATCACGCCCCTTGGAAGGATAAGTTGTTTACATGAAAAATTAGTGATATCGAAAAGTACCGAGCGGACCAATTGGAGCCTACCCGCATAGCTCAACCGATGATTAGACCAATACTCCAATCTACTACTGATGCTATTGAACAAAGGTGCACTCAGCCTTTAGGAAAAATAAGCAGGTCAACGACGAAGGATAAGTTAAACCAATTTTTTTGCACTTTGGGCTGTAACGAAAGACACCTTTATCAGCTACTACATCCAACAGATGAGCCAACATACAAAAATAAGAGGGACCTCCAAACAAAACTTAGGGGATACCCCAAGAATCACAGTCTCTCCCTTCCATTGTTCGTGTAATCTATAAAATGCTTTCTAGCTTTAATTCAAACAATATCTCTAATAGTACCAAAAACCTCATCCTCAAGCAAATTTTTCCTCTAAAAAACCGATAATTTCTCTCACTCCAAATATAGTAAATATGGGCACCCCAAACAATCCTAAAGACATGAGCTAGCAACAACTTACCCCTCACCTGAGTGCAAGCCCAAACTAGCTCGTGCTCCCAATCCACAACTGGTCTGCCAATGTTGCAAAGTAGAAGAACCCTCTCTCAGAAGCATCGAGAGAAGGGACAAGCATAAAAGAAGGTCTCTCGACTCTAAATTAGAACAAAAAATACAGAGGGAGTCACAACGATACCCCTTGATGTGGGATGATCAGATCTGCCAAGTGATGGACCACGGCAATGGACTGAGATTTTTTACGCTTGCAATCTCATTTTTTGAAATTTGATATGGACCTGGCCCGATCCATGTTATTTATAAATCTTGAATCACGTACAAGCTTACAGATAAAAGAAAAAAATTAATTGGAATCAGAAAATATTAATTCAGTTGTTCTATGGTTGTTATAATGTGTTTTTTTATAATCACATGTACCTGATCTATTGATTGACTAATTCAAATCGGATACCGCAGAGGCAAGGACTACCCTCCCAACCTAATTTGTTATATTCGCAGTCGTCAGGATTCGAACCCCTCACTTGTTGTTATAATGTGTTTAATATTGTAAATTTTCAATGCACTTAAATACATATTAGTTTTTTATTTAAAAATTTAGAGATTATTGATAGTTTAAATAATGAATAAAAAGAATAATTTCGAGGATCGATAAATAACAACATAAAGCCCCATGATCGAACATATTTGGTCGGTTGGTTAAAATTTTCATTTTTATTCTTTTATATTCTCTTGTGCCAGGGTTTATACATCCTCTAATAATACTCTCCTTCTTTAAATTATGTAAGATTAGAATATATTTAGAATTTATCATATATATATATATATATATATATATATATATATATATATATATATGATAAATTAGAAGGTAAATATAAATAATAATAAATGAGTTAAATTATAATTGTTAAATTAAAATTTAATTTATTTAAATTTAGGATAAAGTATACAAATGGTCCTTCAACTATAGAATACTACTTTATTAAGTCCTTCGACTATTAAAAGTTATAAAGTGGTCCTCCGACTATAGACTGTTGTTTTGTTAAGTTCATCGACTATTAAAAATTACAAAATGGTCACCCAACTATTGATTATGTTCAAAACATGTCATTTTTCGTAAAAAAGACTACAGTTGTCTAAGTTGGATATTAACGTGATGAATGGGATATGATTGTCGTTTGAGATTGTAGAATCAGATTCTATCCTATCACAGTCAGCAGGTTAACATTCAGCTTGGAATACTGTTAAATTTTCAACAAAAAAGGACGAGTTTGAAATATAATGAATAGTTGAGTGATCATTTTGTAACTTTTAACAGTCAAAGAACTCAACAAAGTAACAATCTACAGTCAGGGGAGCATTATATAACTTTTAATAGTTGAAAGACTTAATAAGATAATACTCTATAGTCGGGTACTTTACCCTTAAATTTAAAATTTATAAGATTCAAATATGTTTTAAACGAAAACAATGAGGAAACGGTTCACGTGCCTTCCGATATGGACCGGTGCCACTCCCCAGTCTGGCCACCACAGATGACCGTATTCGGGGTTCCACCGGCGGAGCAAAGCGTGATGGCATCCATATCATACTATCAGCCGTTAATTTTTATCCATTTTTAAGAATGAAAATAAGATAGTCAGCCGACGATCTCTGCATGTAGACATGCACATTACCCGATTAAAAACCGATCCGATTTTTTTACCTAATCAAAAAATCATATTTTAAAAAAGTCGATTCGGATTCTAACCGGTTTAGAGGGCCGAATGGTGTAACCGGTTTTGGTTTGAAAAAAATCAGATATAAAAAATCGATTTTAATATTATTAAAATTACATCGGTCACAAAAACCTCCCAACGGCTATATTAACGGCTAGTTTTTAAAATCCTATACCGGATTTTTTTCGGATAAAAAAATGATTTTTTATCCGGTAAAAATCCCGGTGTCCAATTTTTTCCCAAACCGGTTATACTATCTGGTTTTAAAATATCCGATCCGGTTTAAAAAAACGGTTTTTTTCTAAATCCGATTTTGGATATTTTTTGCGTAAAATCAAATATTCGGATTTTTTGTACACCTAGCATGGGCCTTGTTTTATTTAAATTAAGGTTTAATTAAAAATAATATTTAATTTGTATCTTTAAATATTAAAAAAATCAGTAAGAAAAAAAAAATTGGTTCTAGAAAATATTTTTTATTTTTATTTTCTGTTTTATTTTTATAAAATAATTTTCATTTTCACTTTTTGAAAATTAGAAAACATGTTTGATTAATATAAATTAAAACTTAAATTTAAAACTAAAATACTAAAATTATATTTGGTATCTAATTTTTAAAATATAAATAAAAATAGTTATTTAATAATTAAATTAGATTATAATTATTAAAAATTATTACATAAATTTAAAAAAATGAGTTATATCAATATAAAATAATAAAGTTGATAAGAAATTCTATAACACAAAATTTATTTTAATTTATAAGAATATAATTTTAATGCATATTAAACATTATTTAAATTTTAAAAATACACAAAAAAACTGTTATGAATAGTAGCACATAAAAATGTCATTAAAAATATAAAAGACATATGTTTATGGGAACTGAGACTCTCAAACTTTTGAGAAAAATAATTAGTGTAGTCCATGAATTTTTTTTTGCACCGACTATTATCGTTAAACTTAGAAAAAATATAACTCTTTGAATAACGGAATCAAACATTGACAGTCATGATACTTACATGACAATTCACAAACTTACATGTTAATCTACAATATTAATGTGACATTTCACTTTACTGTTTTAACAGTACTCGAGGGAAGATGATGTGGTAGAGAGTTTAATTGACTATTTTAGAAAGTTTGATGACTTATTAATTTTAAAAAAATAAAATTTATTTAAATTATAAATACAAAATACACAATTATTATAATTCAATATATTAAATATAAAAATACTAAAAAATTAATTTAAGGGTTATATTGAATGCAAAAAAGAGGTTTAGGGATTATATTGATTTTTTTATAAAAGTTTGAGGGTTTCAGATACCATTAAATCAAAAAATTTGTTGTTAGAATGATTTAAACATGGGTAAGTTAAGTTAAAAATCTAAAAATAATGTTTTGGTACAATTTTAATGAAAATATTGAAAAAACTTTTTTATGTTTTCATAATTTCACTTATTTTTGTTTTATTTTTTAGAAATCATTTTTCCAATTTTACAACCAAAGACGTTTTCTTCGAAGTTTTCTATTTTCTATTTTCTATGAAAATGAAAATAGGCTATATTTTTAAAACCAAATGAACCATAATATTCACTTCGTTTTCATTTTTTTAATAGTATGTGGTAAGTACAAGATAATTTCTGTTCGAAAATAATTCTCAACCTTTTAACATTGAAGGCTCAAACCCTTGACATTTATGATGCTCGAACCCGAACCCTAAAAAATAATAATAATTTTTTTACTATTGAGGGCACTTGATTCGTGCTCGTTTTCATTTCTATATAAAGAGAAAGAAAGAAGGAAAAATAGGTGGAAATTATCTAAAATCATCATTTTTGTATGTTTATAGTTCTTTTGACTTCCGATTAAATTATAATTTCGTTCGTTGCTAACAACAAGTTTGATCTATGCTCATCCAATCATTCATACATATTTTTTTTGTAAATATTATACTTTTTAAGAAAGTTAAAAATATTAAATTTCAATAATTTCAATTAAAAATCATATGAAAATACGAACCGAGTGATATCAGTGGTAAATGAATTCTTATTATTTTTTGAGATTTCGACTTCGAGTAATAGGAATGTCATAAGTGTGGCGTTAAATGTCAAACGATTAAGAGAGTTATATTTGAACAGATACTCTCTTCTACTTACCCTAGATTAATAAAAAAAATCATATGAAAACTTATTCTTCATTCTCCATATAAAATTTAGGGTAAAGTACACAATGATCTCCCGACATAGGATACTACTTTATTAAATCTCTTTACTATTAAAGTTACAAAATGATGTTCATGATTAGGGAGTTTCTTTGTTGAGTCCCTCAACTATTAAAATTTACAAAATGGTCACTCGACTATTCTTTATGTTCCAAACTCTTCATTTTCTGTTGAAAAATTAACGGTCGTATGAGTTGGACTTCATGTTAACTAAGATATGATAGTCGTTTGAGATTATGAGATCAGATTTTATCATATCTCAGTTAGCAAATTAACGTACAACATAAACTGTCATTAAATTTTTAACGAAAAATAATGAGTTCTGAATGTAATGAATAGTCGAGTGGCCATTTTTGTAACTTGTAATAGTCAAGAGACTCAACAAAGCAACTCCTTATATTTAAAGGATAATTTTGGAAATTTTAATAGTCACGAGACTTAATAAAATAGTATCTGATAGTCGGGAACCATTTGCGTACTTTACCCTAAAATTTATATATTTATTTATATAAAAGTTAAATAAAGCATGGATCTCAATAGCAAGAGTGAGATAGATGCCATTTTGAAAAGAAGCAAAAGCATTAAGATGTACTACCACCTTTATATGTAACTTTAAAAGGCTAGTAATTAACATTATGATGGCCGTTGATAGTAGGAAGCTTGGTTGATGAAGCATTGGGTCTCACACAAGTAATTAAAGGCACTACGGGGGCATATTCAAGTTGCTATTCAATACATACTATATCATACTCAAGGTACTATGGATGTTGATTTTCAATAGGGGGGTGTTTATTGTTCGGATTTACCGGAATCAATTGATCAGATCATAATATATTGTGGTTAATCGATTTGGTAATTAGATGTTGGACCGGTTATAATAAGAAAAATTTTAAAATCGGGTTGTCAAATAATTTAATTTGAAATCGATTAATTTACTAAATCAATCAAAGTAATGTATGTATGTATAATAGGGTTAGGATCCACTTACACTTTTATACTATCTCATTATGTATGTATGCGCATGTGTTGGTTAAATTATGTGTTTTTAGTCCCTGTACTAATACTAAAACAACTTGAAGATCCAACCATGTGTCCTAATTTGTTGTTCCTAACTTTGAAAAAAAAGTGGTCCAAAACACAATTATGTCTTAATTTAAACAATAATGTGGCTTACTACATAATCAGACATAAATGGCTTAAGTATCAAATCATGTCAAGCCAATTATGTAATATAATTTGCTTTTTGTGGCAGATTCTTTTGTCAATATTGTTTTGTAAAAAGATTAGGGTAAACTGTATTTAGTACCTAAACTATTAATTTTAGTTTGTTTTAATACCTAAACTTTAATTTTCTTTTCAAAAGCACACATAATGTTTAGTTTTTGTTTTATTTTAGTATCCACTGTTAAAAACTTGACACATTTAATATTGAAACTATCAATTTTAGTCTGTTTTGGTACCTAAACTTTCAATATTCTTATCTTTAAATCCCCACAATAATTATATTTAACATTAATAAAATAAGTTCGAGTTAAAAAGTACACACATCCGAAATCATTTGAATCTAGATTCAGAATATTTTTTTATACTTAATATACAAAAATATTTTATAATTTACACATATTTATAAAAATTAGTTCAACAAATAACTATAAGTGTAATGAAAAGGGTTTATATATAAATTTATTATTTTGGGACTTTTAAATTTAAATAATTTAATAAAATTATATTTGAAAACAAATACACACGATTGATTCTCCGATTATAAATTTATTTAGTAATAATCTAAATATTAAATTCATTTGGATTTTTACATTGCATTATACGATTAAAACTATTCAAATATAACTTTTTAAAAAATAATTATAAAAATAACATGTATTTCGTATTATTTCTTAAAATAATATTTTTTATACCTTATAGAATAAATTTATATTTAATCAACTATAATTTTAAAAGACACACTTGATTGTATAATAAGTATATACAACTTTTATTTCCCAAACATAAATTATTAAAATTATTATTTATTACCATATTAAAAAACCCAAAAAAAGCTTCCATATAAAAGAAACATTTGGCCCCACCAGAACTGACAGACCCTTCTCTTCCTACAATGATCGAACGGCCATAAATTCAATTCTCAAAGTAGATAAAAGGACCAAATTCAAAGGGTCGGGAATTATCGGGATTGGAAAAAAAACTAGAAAAGGAGTGCCACGTAGACAAATAACAATACGGCATCGGCTACAAAAGGTCAAATTATAATTTAGTCCTTATACTATAAAAATTCGATCTATTTTTTAAATCAAGGTAAGGCAAGGAGTTGAGATTATGGATACCAAAAGGGAATAATTCCAAAACTACAAAACTAGTTCAATATGTAATGTGATGTACCGAAAGGGTAAGGTAAGGAGCTCGATTCGATTCAAAACTCTAAAATGGAGCTCGACTTGGCTTGAAAATTCGTGAGCTTAAAATGTTCAAGCTCTATTCAAACTCGAAATCATGAATTGAACTCGAAAATACTCGCCAAGCTTGAAAAAAAACTTGAACCTAACTAGGTTGAAGCTCAAACTCGAACCTAAAACTTACGTATGTGAAAACCTCTACTATATATATATATATATATATATTATATATATATATATAAAAACACATAAATGTTAATATTATTAATAATTTATTTTTTAAGAAAAAAATAAAAATTTTAATATATAATTTTTTTGAGTTACTCATGGTATCAACTAAATCATTTTGACTCCTTAACTCGAGTCGAGCTCAAGCTTGAGTCAAATTCATTTGAGTCAATCTGTCTCATCTCATTTACAACTTAGACAATAGTAAAACTATATTTCAAATTGAGAATAGTATAAGGACTGATAGAATAAATTGTCCCTCCTTTTTATTATATAGTGACAAGCTTCTGTTCCTTCCTTCTCCATCTTCCACAGTTTTTTTTTTTAATTTCTCCACTCTCTTTCCTTCTCTCTTTTCAGACAAAGCATCAATTCTCCTGTTCATGTCCCGTTTCTTTCGTTTCCAAGTTGCAACAGCTCGAAACACAAACCACAAGCAGTGATTCGTTTCCTGTTTCATAAAATCCTGCACTTTTTCCTCTTTATTTTGCAGCTTTTGAGCCCTTCTTCACAGACAAGAAGCCCCACCTCCTGTTTGGTTCCTTGATAATCTCTCTGTTTGTTTCTTTGTCCTAAACGAGAAGCCATGAAAGCGTCGATGAGAGACAACCCATCTTTCTCTTCAACTCTACTTGACAAAATCTACCGTTCAATCGACGACGGCGAAACCAAAACTGAAGACCTGAGATTTTACGGCGAGACTATACTGAGGAAACAAAGGTTGTCGAGTTTCCAACGAACTTGTTTGATCGAGAAATGGATGGAGAAGAAGGTTAGTGAAAAGGTAAATGCGGATAAGAAACATGTTTTCTCTGATTCTGAGTTTGTAAGAAAAACACATCATAAACATGAACATGGAGATGATCATGATCGTGACGGTGTTTTGTTTAGCTCTACTTCGATCTCTTCTGATTCAAGTTCCGGTGGGTTTTCGTTTTCATCATCTGACACCGAATCCATGTATTGTACGAAAACCCAAACTCCGTCGTGTTTTGTTCGACCATGGCCGAAACCAGTCAAGACCAGAGTGTCGGCGACGGCGGCAGAGGCTCAACCCGACAAGCCATTCAAGACGGAACACAGGGCGGCCGAGAAAATCCACGGCGATTCAAATAAGGCGAAACAACGACCACGACAACCACCAGTTTCGCCTGGCGGTCGACTCGCGAGTTTCATTAATTCTTTGTTCACGACAAGCAATACAAAGAAATCCAGAAGTTCATCATCAACACCAGCATTATCTTCAACCGTGTCCGTAGCAAGCCACAAACAAAAGCATCATGTCTCGTGTTCTTCGGCTTCATCGTTTTCGAGATCGTGTCTAAGCAAGTGCTCGCCGTTGACGCACGAAAAGCTGCCTGACGGTGCCAAAAGAACAGTCCAGTTCTGTCCCGTCAGCGTAATCGTCGACGAAGACAGCAGACCGCGCGGACAAAGAGAAACAGGGAAACCGCCGTCGAGAAAGTACGACCAAGAGATAAAGTTTCAGACAATGGAGAGAGCAAGGCGAGTCGAAGAAATGGCAAGAGAGTTTCTGAAAGAGTATAAACTATATAAAGAGAAAAACGAGTTCATTTCAAGGGATTCTCGCATAAATTATGTACACCATGAAGACGAAGACGAAGATGATGTGAGTAGCTGTTCGAGTTCGGATCTGTTCGAGTTAGATCACCATGTTCTTTCGCGTAATCATAGGTACGAGGAAGAACTGCCGGTGTATGAAACTACCCGTGTCGAAACAAATCGAGCCATTGTAATGGCTTGATAGTTTAGTTTTTTTTTTCTTTTTCTTTTTTTCTTTTTTATGTTATTTTCATCCTTGTTTTATTTGTTCAATTTTGATTTCAGTCCCTTTAACTGGATTTTGATATAATTTGATCCCTCTATAAATAATAATTAAGATATTAAATAAAAAAATTTAATCAATTAGACAATTTGATTAATTTTTTTAAATAATTTATTATTGTTGTCATGTAGCACACTGATTATGTCATATAGTCGATGTTGGCTAAAGAATGAATTGGTAACATCCAAGAGTGTGTAAAGGCTTAATTGGGTGCATAAAATCAATGATAAAGTATAGATTCGTGAATTATAAGATATTGTTTTATTAAATCTCTCGACAATTATGAGTTACAAAATAATTCTTTGATTATAGGATATTGTTTGGTTGAGTATTTCGATTATTAAAAGTTATAAAACGGTCACCCAATTATTAGAATTTCCAAACACATCCTTTTCTATTTAAAAAATTGGTGACAATATGTTAACATGTCGACCGAGATATGATAAAATCTGATATAAGAACCTTTTAAGTTGTATTTTGTTGATCGATTATTCGTTTACATTATGTCATTAAACCAATGCTTAAAACATTCCGTTATCGATACCAGTGGCAGATGTACATTGATGCACACCTTGAAAATTCCTAGAATTTGAATTTTCTTCTTTAAAATTTGAAGTTTTCCTATTAATGTATATGTGACCACCCTCATAAAATTTTATAGATCCGCCATTGGTCGATACAGTGCTTGAAAACAACACTGGTGTCAATATACATCATTAAAATATGGTTTTATTATATCTTAGTCAGCAGGTTAACATTCAACTCAGACGATCGTCAGGTTTTTAACGGAAAAGGACAAGTTTGAAACATATGAATAACCAGGTGACTATTTTGTAACCATTAATAGTTGAGGGACTCCACATAACAATATTCTATAATCAGGAGACTATTTTATAACTTTTAATAGTCGATGGACTCAACAAATCAGTATCGTGTGTATTGGTGTAAATCCAAGCTTAAAGTGAGATGAAATGCTAATGCTAGGGCCTAGTTAGAATGTGGAGAAGGGGGGGGGGAATTAAAATGAGGGGAAAGTAAGCATGTGATTTTGGTATTTTCTGAAAAGTAAACAAGTGGGGATGCGTTAAATCTTTGATCAACTGACAGTTTCCAATGGATTGATGAAAGGGAAAGAGGAAAAAAGCAAAAGATTCGAGATCGTAATCACAAGCAAAATGAGAGACGAGGGTAAAGGCAAAGGCAGATCTTCTCCCCCATGGGAATAGAGAAGATTGTATGAGACTGCAACCTTTTGCTTTCTTTCCCTTTCTCTCTACCATTTTGAAGAAAAAAAATTAATACGACCCTCGTATTATTATTTTTTCAATATAATCATCAAACTCAAAAAATAAACTCAATGTGATCCTGTGACTAATATTTTCTATTGTTGACCATTACGATTATGATGTGGTAGTCACGGTGATGACATGACTGTCCACGGTAGTGGATAATAATATGGTAGATAACATGACATATAAACTAAATTTGTAACTCAAATATGACAGATGAACTTCCACGTAATCACCATGGATGTCCACCTTAACACCTTGAACTGCTACGGTCAGCGCCATTATGATCAACGACGGAACATGTTGGTCAAAGGATCATATTGAGTTTATTTTCTGAATTGAAGGGTCATAATGAGAGAAAAATAATACGAATGTCGTATTAGTTTTTTTCAAAAATATAGATACTTCTAATGCCTTTTTGCCTAATTTTAAAGTTTGAGTCTTATGACTTGAACGGTTGGACATTGCATTTTACATCACCATTTCCCAACCTTTCCTATTGCCGAGAGAAGAAGAGCACTCTTTTGGGTTACTTACCCTTCCTATCCAAGACTCCTCTCTTTAAGTTCACAAAAGGTCAAATTATTGTTTTAGTCCTTTTACTATACTAAAGATTATTATTTGGTCTTTATGTTTTAATTTTGAATGATTTGGTCCTCATACTTTTATAGTTATTAGTTAATCCATGTTTTTACTCTCGTTAAAGCGATTATGTGATTTTTTATATAGAAATTGCCCTCAAACATTCAAATACCATTCAAACTCATCAACGAGTTAGTTCAAGTGGTAAGCAGCTTGATATCACTTAAGCAAGGTCTTAGGTTCGAGTTCTTGTGTATGTAGAAAATCTCCGTTGAAATACTTACCCACCAAATTCAGGTATACGACCTGAGTCGATCTAGATTAATCAAATCAAAACATTGAAATGAAGTCCAACCAAAAAAAAATTACCATGGAAACTCTTTTATTAATTTAAGTAGCTGGTTGTAGAATTTTATTAAACGCAACTTCAAAGAAAGTTTCAACGGGTAGACCAAATTAAATCATCACTGTAGATAGTTAGTGGAGACAGCTTTATTTCTAACAACTAAGACCACAATAATTATTACTGTTATTATGAACATGAAAAAGTGTAGGTTTATAAACCATAGCCCACTCAAGTTTATTACAGCATTTATGCTCGTTACTGTTGTTTGTTTAACCTAGACAAGGAAGAAGACGATGGTCCACGTGATGTAATACAATGGGTTCGTGTTGAAACAAAGAGACAGAGCTCGTAGGGTTTTGTGAGTCTTAAGATTCCTGTAAAGGGACCAACAGCGTTGTAAGTGTGCTCATAAATCAGTTTGGACTTTGTACAAACAAAACTGGTGGTCTTGTCCAAAAGATTGGAGAAAGAATAGATCTAAAGCTTGTCTATTATGATTAGACTGCTTGCTCAATTATATCCCCATTGGACCATTCTACTTGCACAACTTGTGATACATGTGATTTTCTTTTGGTATTCAATCGATTGATCGATCTGTTTCTTTATTCCGATCTTCTTAATAATTTGTAATTTTACGAGTTACTTTGGAGTACAACGATATATAAACAATCACACGATAAAAATAAAATACATACATTTATACAAAATATCTTATTAGAGAAAAAACGAATAGAAGAGAAAAATTCAATATAGTATAAAAATTATAAGAGATATATGACTACAAAATAGGGTAAATTATACATTTAATACATAAACTATTAGTTTTGATCCATTTTAGTACCTAAGCTTTCAGTTTTTTCGAAATCATACCTGACGTTTAATTTTCATTTCATTTTAGTACCTAAACTTTCTATTTCTTCAAAACTTAACGTTAAATTTTGAACGGACTAAATGAAATAAAAACTAAAGTTTTAACAGTGGGTTACTAAAAAGAAACATAAACTAAACTTTAAGTATGATTTTGAAAAAATTAAAAGCTTAGGTACTAAAAATACTAAAATTAATAGTTTAGGTATTAAATATGTAATTTATCCATAATTTTTTATTCCATCCTTGTTCAATAACCCTAATCAGTTTTGACAACCATCATAAAACAAAAGAGAGGGAGACAACCTCAAAAAAAAAAAAAAAACTCAGTAATAAAAAGAATATAGATAATGATGCTTTAACCAAGCTCATGTGTCCATCTAAATAGAATAATGGGCAAACTATGTATCTAGTACATAAATTATTAGTTTTGATATGTTTTAGTATTTAAACTTTCAAATTTTAAAATAATATTTAATGTTTAGTTTTTGTTTAGCTGTCCAAAACTTAACGCGTTTAGTATCAAAACTATCAGTTTTTGCCTGTTTTAGTACCTAAACTTTCAGTTTTTGTTAAAAACTTAACGTTAAGTTTTTAACGATGGTATTAAAATGAAACAAAAACTAAACAATAGGTATACTTTGAAAAAGGCTAAACTCTCGAGATAACGTTCTCGAATAAATTAATTCACGAGATAATGCACTCCTCAGATTAATTGCTCAAATAGGGTGAAATCTACAGTGTTGGTCGTAGGTCGCCATGTCTTCCCGCGAGCTATGAGAGAGATTGCATGTGTCATGCACGTTCCAACACGTTGGGCATCCGAAGGCATTCGCCGAGGGCATGACCGAGGCCATTCGAGCGAGCTGCGAGGGCATCCGAGGGCAAGAGGAATCACGCGAGAGCAGGAGGAGTGCATGGGACCTACAAGGTCGCCAGGAGTGCATGGCGACCTACAAGGTCGCCCGCATGGGACCTATGCTGGAAGCTGCCCGCCGTAGGTCGCCCGGAAGGCTGGCGACCTACGGCCAACACTGTGCAATTCACCCTATTTGAGCCATTAATCTTGAGAGTACGTTATATCGTTAATAAAAAATTCGAGAACATTATCTCGAAATTTTACCCTTTGAAAAATGAAAAGTTTAGGTATTAAACAAATTAAACTTGTAGTTTAGATACTAAACGTATATTTACCCTAGAAAAATTGTTTAACAGACCTAAAACAAATTGTCCACAAGCATCAATTAGGGTTTGTAATGTCCAAAGAGAATACATGGGGCCCCTAATTCCCCAAGTGGAGGCAGAATCTCTGCAAGTCAAATTCCAACACGATCATATGATTACAAACTAATAAACCTTCACTAGTGGAATCCCCGACTTCTTTTTCAAGAGTTGTAGGCGGATAACTGTTTATTTAATTACTGTAGTTTCTTTTTCATTGTTTATTTTTTAATTGGAGTGAACTACATAGTAATCCCTAAACTTTGTGGCATTTACATTTTGCTCATCGAACTTTAGAACTCGAATCGGAATTGTTGAACTTTTAGTTCAGTTTCATTTGGTCACTGCCACCAGATGCAAAATTAGAACATCTATTAATAATGGTCCAATTAAATGAATTAAAAGTTCAATAACCCTAATATAAACTTTAAAAGTTTAGTGACTAACATGTAAGCATCCTAATAGTTCAAAATCTACAAGTGTAATTTACCCAAAAATAATTATATGTTGAAGTTGCATTTCAATCCACCTCTAGAAACTATTAATTCATCTAGGCCCTTTTAACACAAAATTTATGATTATTATCCATTGGTTCCGATGACAAAATCACAGTTTAACCCCCCAAAT